TGTTTCGTTTTCTTGGATGAATTTTTTTCCAATAATGTTGGTTTTCTTATGATACAGTGGGCCTAAAGTTGAGGATGAAGATGACGATGATGGCCATGTTACTAGGACGGACAATAACCAAGATGATAATGGTCCATCTACAAGCGATGGGAGAACGGGGCTGAGGAGACCCACACAAAAAGAAAAGACACCCCAACAGAGGGCCGGGGAAGCGTTGCTTAAGCACATTTGGAAAGAAGTTGAGGGAGAACACTACTCTTTCAGGTACATCGATAATAATAATGATAATAATTAGCTCAAACATTCCTATCCATGTCACAGACATCACTAAGCGCTGTACGATGAAAACTTTGCAGGTTGTTAAAGAAAGCAATACAAAGTCACAACACAAAGCCAAGTAAAATTAACACTGACAATTACATAATCAAAAAATAGAAGTCATTAAGTTGGTTTACAATTCTCAAAAGAAACTTTTGTTGGTCACTATCGTATTGTAATGTTCTCCGTGTTGTCTGCTATACATGTATGTGCAATGACTGAATAAATCATAATAATAATAATAATCAGGTCAAATTGCTGTTGGTGGCCTTCTCTTCCGAATAGACGGGGACGTATATTACTAATGATCCGTTACCGTATTGCCAAATTGCTGTAGGTAGCCTACCCTTCAAAATAGACAGGGGCATATATTGCTAACGATCCCTTGCCATATTGCCATGTAAAATTGTAAGCAGTAAGCACAATTAAAGGCACACTTAACCGTGCTTAAGGTAGTGACAAACCAATGGAAATCTCTGTGTATTCACAAAACCACACCAAGCATTTAATCAGCTCCATGAAATTGGGCCCTGCTCAAGCTGTCTACCTGCATGCGTTCTCACCTGTTGATAAGTGTACTCTTACCTTTTTTAATGTATTCTCCTTAAAACATTTTTTTCAGTGAGACTTTGTCACTTCTAAGCTTCTTCGAAAAGCGTGCAGTGAAGCAGACAGCATGGAAGGCCAATCTGGAGATCTGCCCAAGCCTCCAAATTCCAGTCTGTGGATATCTGAAGGTGTGTGTTTGCTGAAAGCTTCTGAAATGCTTTAATCCTTTAATTATTCCCCAGAACCCCTTCATCTCAAACTGGCACCAGTGTGGCCTAATGTTAGTACTTGTGTCTCACCACGCGGCCTTTTTGAAAGTACACTGTATGGCCGTGAAAATGTTGGAATTCTAAGACATTCTGGAAGATTAGATCATTAGAAACATTTCAACCTTCCAATATGTTGTTCTTCCAATATGTTGACGTGCACATTACTTTGTTACATGCACATCCAAAGGTATGAGGAAATAAGCATGTATGTGTCCCCTCCCCGCTTTTTGGAATCAGGAGGGATGGACCATTCGATTGCCTCCTCCCCTTACTTTTTGTCGGTAAGAAGCAAGAAAAAGTGAATTTTTAAGTTATTTTAGAACTGAATTAGAATGCACTCTAACACTGAAGATCATTGAATAAGCAGTACAAAATTGTAAATGCAGCATTTGTAATGGACAGTGACCCTGTAATTTGGGCCATCTCGTTCCCCTCGCTGGCATAGATTTATACCACTGAATCACATAGGCCTTTACTTCATGTATTCTTAAAACTCTTGTTTAAGTCATCAGATATTGAGTCTGAGTCCATGTCATCACCAAACATTGAGCCTGAGTTCATATCATCAAGCATTGCGTACGAGTCCACACCATCACACATTTCGTTCGAGTCTACGTCATCAAACATTGAGTCAACACTTTTGATTTTTTTTTAATGTGGCTTAAAACATTTAGATACAATTAATCCCAAATTTGAAATTATTCATTAGTATAAATGGCATTAGTTTGGAATGAACTTTTGTTCATTCTCAGGCTCGCCAAACAAAAAGATAACCTTATTTTCTATTCAGTATGGCCAACTTATGAATAAGGCCACCAATTGGTGAGCATTAATTGTGCCTGTTGTATGAACTTCTACATATATGTAGATGTACATCTGTGTATGCATATCCGCCTTGAGCAGAAGCACTCACTCACTGGTTGAAAAGAGCCATGTTATTATTATTCGAGAGTGTTCATTTTGTTGGTAGTGATGTGGCTGTTACATGTGTACATTTATTTCCTAGTCGTTTGTGAACCAGTGAAGTTCAGTTCCTCCCAAAGGAGACTCCATTGCTAAGAAAATGAGGCCCTCTCTTGGTCCAGCGCGTGGCCCCCTAGCAAGATAAAATGTTGATCTGTGTGTATAATCTGGTACATTACTAATTGATTTGAAGGTGAAACAGAGCACACAGAAATCTTGGAAGTCGACATACATAAAAGGAAAAGGGAAGGAGTACACGCCCAAGACAATACGCTCCCAACATCTGAACGATGATGAAGAAACCGAGGTCGAGAGTGAGGAAATCATAGAAGGTAGTTCTGAAGTTACTGAGTAGTAAGGCATACTGCGTGATATTGATGTTAGCACATCAATTTTTTGTATTGACATTGTCATGGCATTAGGCATTGTCAGGATTGTTAGGGGGGGAGGAGGAATAAGCCATTTTGGGGGGGGGATTTCCATGGTGGGGGCAAAGCACTCATCAGCAACAAACTGATAAGCTATTAAAAGTGGAAGGGGTCAAGTTTTTACAAATTTTTGTTATCAAGCTTATTTCCACCCCTGTCTTTTCTTGATTGACTTTTTTTGGGAGAGGAGGAGAAGGGGCAAGCCCCCCCTAATTTCCCCTGAGTGACACCCATTTCGGTACATGTAAACTTTTCCCCAATTAAAAACACTTGAAAGTTTTCACGTTGTGGTACATGTGCAGGTCATCGTTATGGCAGTGACATCATACCCATCTCAGAAGAAGATAAAGTGAATATGGGTTACAAACCTCCAGGTAAAGTCATGCAAGTCCTGGGCTTCACAAAGCAAGAAAATGTAAGTGACAACAGGCAAACCTGAAGATTTTGACCATTGCCGTACTTTTTTGCATTCACCAGGGTTGTAGTTAATGACATAAAATGCATCAATGATTTTTAGAGGTCACGATGTTGAGCTGGTAAAGTGGCTGATATCATGATGCATATTGCAGTTTTGAAGTTATCATACATGAATCTCAAGCTCAGCCGCTGTTTTACCTCTTTTAGATCAAGCGCCACCAGCAACTGGGAAGCAGCGTCTATTGCTTTGTAGCGGATCCTTCTGATCAACCTGGATGTGTAGCATTATCGGCCATCATCAACGCTTTGTATGAAACCAACTCAGTAGCCATTGTACGTAGAACCTACTCAGCAAGGAGCAATCCTCGTCTTGCGTGCTTGATACCACACATTAAGGCTAAGTATGAGGTGCGTATACTCCTTGGCCTCAGTTGACTCTAAAACGTTTATAAGTGACCCACAAAAGAAAAAAGGTAGCAAATTAGCTGAGGCAGCAGATGAACATTGGTAACAGTTCATTATTTGGCATTTTGTTCTTATTACAGAAATGTCATTTCCTCCAGATTTCATCACTTGATACCAGGGTTTCCACTGCCTATGCGACTGTGAGGCAGCCCACCTCACTATTTTAGTGACCACCTTGGGCTTTTCTGTTGAATTTTACCATCTCACAATTAAAATAAACAAAAACAGAAGGAAAAAGCAAAATTACTGAGATAATTTGAAATAGATCAGTTTCAAATAATTCAGCATGGTAAGAAAGACACAGAATACAAGATCTATTTATATAGAGTGGAAATTTAGAGTAAATATACTGTTACATGTACTATGTGGCATTTAAGGCGCTAGAATTTTGGCAAAATTTATTTGACCACACTGATACTTCTATTGACCATATCTTCCACAGAGTTTGTTGTACATTGAGCTGCCGTTCATGGAAGACTTACGACAGTATACATTCTCATCTCTCAGTTCCAATAAGAAGAATCAGCCCTCTGGTGAGTTGCTCTTTCACTTTCAAAGTTATCAACTGTGAACTTTAAGCATACACATGCACGCCTCCTGTGTAACATGACCAGACATTGCTGCTGTTTTCCCACTGTGCTCCCATTATGTCATACCTTAAATATTTCTTGCTCAGAGTTCAGAATGGGTTTCTGTATTACTGAACGTTACAAATTTGCTGTTAAAATCAAGTTAACCCTCCTATGCTGAAGCCACTCTTTGGGTCACTTGGTAAACACCTCAAAGAAGCACAGCTGTGTGTGTTGTGCACTGCACCAACATGCAAGAGAGTGACCTTGGGCACTTGTGCATATTTGTGCTGTAAAACCAAAGGAGGGTTAATGAAGTTTATTTATTGTTTAACTAAGCATGGAGATTGAACTACAGAATAGCCTCTCGGTAAAAGATAGCTAAGTGTGACATTACACACACGGTACAGTCCCTCCTGCACCGTAGTTGTGGGGACATACACTCGACATTTCACCTATTTTGTGGGGACCGACAACGTTGTGGGGACTCAGAAATGTCCCCACAACTTGGTTCAGATTTCCCTAACAAAAGAACTTGTCCCCCGAACGCGGTGAATGCCTACCCATCTGTTCACACAAGTCAACATTCCCTAACTTGAACTGTGTTAATATAAATCTCCAGTTAAACTGCATGTTATATGTAGCTGTACTGTCATGCATGCCAGAGGCTGCATGCCCCTTCTGTTTTCAAGTAAGTTCGAATGGCTTCATTTAAATGTTACATGTTTAATTTCAGATGAACAACTCAGCGCTGTTGACGATCTCATCACCAATATGGATCTCATGAAGGCCAATGTGTAAGACATTCAGTCATTGAATCACTTGTGTCAGGATTTAGTCTGTACCCTGTGGCTTTATTGACATCTCAGGCCCAACAAAATTGGTTGTCTCCGGTTACCCTACCCAACCTTGAAAATCACACAAAACCTGCTTGTCTTATTTCAGATTTAGAAATGGAGAATTATGATGCTAAAAAGCCTGAGCATAATTTTTCTGTGCATCGTCCAGCATTTCTTTATATTTCTAGTGTATTTTTAAGTTGGGTGTTAATTTAAGCCTTTACTGTGGCATATTTGTAGCTGCAACTGTTTTCTAATTTCAAGCAACTCAACCAGTTCATCTACAACACTGATAACGTGCGGTATTGAATCTGTGATCTGATATTGTAACTTGTTAACTGTTGCAAGCCAGTGCCCAGACAAAACGTTCATTCACCAGCATCCCATCCTAAAATTTGGCAAACCTTAAATGAGCCCACCCCTGGCCACCTTCATGTACCACCCTGATGCTTATTTTTAAGAGTAACAGATAACATAACTGTTTTTGTTTGGCCACATAGAAACTGCTGCCAATTTTATGAAATGTGGTGTAACTTTGAACCATGTGTAAGCCTTGTGCCATAAATTTATATCGTAGCTGCGCAGACGAAAAGTTGCGTAGCTGCGCCACATTTTAATAATATTGAATTTGTTGGACGAAGATAAAAACGGCTTTTACAACAAACAGTCATTGAATCATTTCCGCCCACCATTTTGAAAAAGTTTGTGTCTTTTCTTTGTCGGAACGGGACAGAAAATCTTGCAGTTATCTCTCAGCCGAACAAATTTTTCATAACCTTCTACAACAAAGTCGTACGTTTCTGATATAAGCCTTGTTAAGTTCAGCAATGATGACGCTTGACCAAACACGATAAGCAGGTCAAATTGTTCATTTTTACTTCATTTGGCACAACTTACGCCAACTAAAATGACTGCATAAGTTATGCCATAAGTTGTTGCATAAGCCGTGGACTTACGAAGTGTGTAAGTTTCGTGAAATCGATCTTAACTTGTTGCACGACTTACGCAATAAAATGTGGCATAAGTGGAGTTATGCCAATGCATAAAGTTTTGTGAAATCGGCTGCTGGGCATGTAGGGTCATAGGGCAGCCTACCACAGAAGCTTTAGACATTCATGTTGCATAATCAAGCGTGTTTCTGTAATGTGACTTTTGGAATCTTGGAGCATAAACAAGTGCAGGAATTTTGGTTAATGTTTAGGAAATTGTGAAGGATTCCAGGCCAAACTGCAAAGAAGTTCTTTAACCCTAACAGCCCTGAATCCTCCAATTTTAATATGATTTTGCACACACCCTAGGGAGTTAGGGTTAATGTATCTCCTGAAACATTCTCAAAATGTTTTTTTTTAGGTGGGGACAAGATTGGGCAGGGCTAAGCCTCCCCAAGTTAGGTTCCCCCCAAAATGCATGTAGTGCATTGTTCTCATTGTAGAATCTTCTACATTTTGGAGAAAAGGAAGTCTGTGCTGGCCAAATTTTTTTTGACATTTTTTCATATCCTTTTTCGGTCCAAAATTAAATTTGACTTTTCCACACCCTATTCTTCCATTTAAAGACCATACATGTATACCATTCTGCATTTCCACTGCCTTGTCAAGGCACTTCATTCAGACATGGAGCTATTAAACGCAAGGAGTTAGAACGAAGTCCCCACAGACCGTAATCTGATTAACCACTCTGGTTGGCTCCTTAGACAAAGCACGATTACCAGCCGCAACATTGACGACCCTTGACATTCTTGGTACACAGTGACTGCCACAGCTGGGTTGCTGGTAACTCACAGACTTGTCATGTTTCGCTGCGGCATTCTGGAGTCAATAAATGGTGGAAAAGATACACGAAGAAAATGTGCAGTTCTCTACAGTAGTCCTTAGGAGTCGGAGAGAGATCCCCGCAAATGTGCTAAAAAATTCGTAATCAGCAGTGGTCATTTGGTAAAAATCTGACATTTTTAAAGTCAGTTATAACGTTTTGCAGTTCAGCAGTAGAGAACATAGACCCCCTGTACCCAAAATATGAACTGTAATATGTCCATCACAATTTATAATCCTAGGTTGAAACATGCCACAAGAATGCATTTGAAAACGTGGCAAGGTTTCATGCTGAGACAGTTGTGAACAATGACAGAAAGGACAGTGAATCTTCCCATGTTTTTGTGTGTTTTTTCATTTCCTATCAACTAGCTACATTCTTTTAGTTTCTTGTCGTGTATTTGTGGAGAATTTGTGTTTGGCAGTAATTCTATTTATTGTTAAGAGAGACGTTTTGGGGATGTAAAGACATAACCAGGCTTTCATTATCATTGGAATATCAGAACAATCACTGACATTATCAAAATTTAAGTCTCTGATGACGGTGATTTCTGTCTCGATGGCGGCTATGTTGAACGTGCAGAAATTTAGGGACACGCATGTGTGGTAACCACAATCCTTTGCAAATGCAACTCCCAGCATTCCTTGTAGCCCACAAGTGGCACATAATTTGATTGCAGTGCACTTGCAGTGCTTACGGTGGCCATCGTTGACCCGTTTGATCTCTGTATTTGCTTACTCCTCATGTTTAATAGCTCCATGATACAGACATTAAAAACAGAATTTTTTACGGATTGGAAAATCATTCTTCCGGTTAGCCTTAAACTCACTTGTAGGTAACAACATAGTTCAAATATTTTCGTTTTTCTTATCAACAGGAATGAAGATGGTGAAGAAGAGGAAGCATTGAAGCCCAAGTTGACATTCAATCCTTACTATCAAAGGCTGTGCCAGGTACAGTCAATGCAAAGCAATCGTTTAGGGTGATCAGATACGTGAATCAGATAAAGGCAATGTCTGATTGACTGCTTGGATTCTACAGGTTGATCAGTCTTTTTTCTAAACTTGGAGGAGTGGAAATATAGAGAGATCTCAAAACACTTCAGTAGAAACGGTTGTTAAAGTCTTGTGGGAAAGTCTTCTTGTAAAATGTACATTTACAATGGAAGTCTGCAGACTGGAGTTTGTCGAGGAGAGAAAGTAGGATATTACAAATTTAGGCACTGATGCTGGAAATGGTATTGGAGCCTTTTTGCACACAATGTCAATTAACAAACCGGCAAATGTCATTATTAATTTTAAGTCTTTCTGGTAATGAAACCAAGGATTCCCCAAAAGTGCCCTAGGCACTGTAGTTCATAAGCCTTAACTCTAGAGAGGAGACACTGAGATGAAGTTACAGCTTCAGAGGTAAAACCCACAAAATCAGGTAGGGACTGAAAACGCAATCTACATATAGGCTGAGCTGGGAATCAAACCCCAGCTGCACAGGTGGAAGGCGAGGAAGCCTGGCTCCCTGTATCTCACGGTATCAGTTTCCTTTGACTAGTCTTACAACATTTTACCAATGACAGTTCATCTGTCATCACTTCTGAATGTGTCTACACCCAATGCATTACTGCACCTATCACATATTTCGTGTCTGACCCTTGTGAATGTTGTACAGATGTTCTACCATATTAGCTTTTTATGCAAAGCTGACGGCATGAGGCACTTTGCGAAAAAGCAGTTTACCTTACATGCTTCTGTATTCTCTCAGATTTGATCATTGAGTATTGTTGACTTTTTATGTGGGTATTTGTGAAAGCTTTCTTGTTGGCTCTTGGCAGTGTTTGATGCACAGGGCACTGAACCCCACGGCGGCATTGCCTGCCTTGTCACCCGCCATAGCCGAGTATTTGCAGCCTCCCAGGGCATTGTCTGCGGAGTGTTCTTCATGTGTCGACAAAATCAAAGAGCTGTTCAAATTGGAACGTGTGAAGAAACAAGAAGCAGCCTCAGCTGAAAGCTTGTGGAAAGACAGGTACGGTAGACTCCTAGCATCTCTGCATCATCTCATCAGATATGCGCATGTACAATTTATTGCATTCCAACATACACGTTAGCCACGGCCACATTGTGTGGGTTGGCTCCATCATTAACCACTTGGAAGTGCTCTAATTTTGGAAATGATGTTGTGTTCATTTTTGGAATGTATTAATTCCAAATGCAGCTTTCTGTAGGCTCCTCTGGCTAGCCGGTTTTTTTATCTCTGGTTTCATGGGCATGAATTGGCGTAGAATATGTCTATTCCCTCCTGGATGGGATGCCAGTCCATCGCAGGTTGCTCCCCAGCTAATGCTGGTAGCTTCTGCTTATACTTCTGCGTGGACAGAGGCAAGCAGGGGTTAAGTGGCTTGCCAAGGTCACAGCTTATGGCCAAAAGTTGGATTCGAACCCCTGACCCTCCAGTCCTATTCCAACTCTGTTTAGAATCACTCAAATATGTATCTGTGTGTTTTACAGTACCCAGCAATCTTTAGTCAACCTCAGGTGAGCAAATTCAATGTCAACTGGTAATATTCTCTAGGATATTGTCTGTTGGGTGGCTCCGTCAAGTCTACCATCTCCTTCCTCCAAAACTTTATGGGCAAGCTTACAATTAATTTGCAAAACAAGGGAAATTCCTGAAGTTGAGAATTCTGCAAAAATTCCCTAATGTGAAGTTGAAGTTTTTCTGAAGTAGCACTGTTTGAAGGTGGTATTGGTGGTGTGATCTCTCCACTTCATGTGTACATATTTATAGGGCTTGCTAGATTTCTTTAATGGCTTGCAAAGGAGCTAGTCATCTTCCTAGGTGCAAGATTCCAGAAGATACAGGACGCTGAGAAAGATTCCAAGCTGGATTGGATCTTGAGCAATTGAAGTGGACTCTATTGATGCTTTCTGGCAACCGATGAATTTGATCCTTCATTGACCTTGGCATCCATTGGATTATTTCAGTGACGTCAACGCAGCAGGCCCTGCAGCCAAGAAGCCTCGCCTTGATGATGACGCAGTAGACACAACAGACTTCAGCATGGCAGGCATGGCCAAAGGAGCTGTCCAGGAGGTCATTAATAGTTTATCCTTTCAAGAAAGCTTTGCAAATATTGCTTACATTCTGATTGATATTTTTCGAATGAAATCTTTGTGAAAGATTACCGTTGCAAGAAAAAATTACTGGTATTGATTTTGACTCAGAGTGACACATCAGGGTCATTGCGCTGTGGACAGAAAGAAAATGGTGTCCACTGTCCTCTGTAAAATGCTGAAGCGTAAACTCGTGACTGGAAAGGATATACTTTTTGTACGATTTGGTTGAGTGCCCCTAAATTCCCCAGAAACGTTGGCTTGGATTTGGGGTCAAAAGGTCAGACATCAAAAATGGATTTAGTCTCCCTTCAAATAGACCAGAGAGGGGTTTTTGCCAATGTTCATTTTTATTCCTTGAAAGATGTCCCTTTTCCTCTCTCACACATGATATGATTCATTGAGTGAACTTGTAATGTGATTACAGGTTGGTACTGTAGATCCTGTGGGAGATTTCAAGGCAATGATCGGTCAGAAAGATCAAGACAGATTCACTCAAGGTAACTGCATTATATGACATTAGATAGAAGGCTTAGACAAAGCTTAACTGCTTAGCGCTGTGAAAATTGAAAGTAAAACTTGATACTTCATCTGTTTCTTGTAATTATCCAGTGAAATCCCCTCTTTCCTTTTGGCGGACGACTGAGTTCAGACAATTTTGTGATTTTTCTCCCGTTTTGTCTTTCAACAGCTTCAGACCAAATGCAGAATCGTATCAGCCAGTTGGTGCGTGATTCCTTTGGTTCCCAGTTCTACAGCAAGGCCATGGAGTGCCTTAAAACATTAAGAGGAGCATCTATTGAGGTAACTGAATCTAAGATAACTTTCCACTTGGTTAAAATCATGTGCTTGTGCTGTACAGTCACTGATACAAAAGGGAAGGTATGGCTGTCACAGAAACATGTGTGGAACTTGTAAAATGACTTTTTTGTAATACAGTGTTGAAGAACAAAATAATACTACGCAATTTTCCATAATTCACTGTACATTTCCTCTTAACATGGCTGCATGGACAAAGCAGAATTATGCTCATATATGATGTAGACAAAAAAATGCAGACTCTGTTCTTGTTTGTACGTTTATTTTCTACATGTAGTCTGAAGAAATTATTCAAGTTCTTTGAATCAAGCCAAAATAGTGAATAAATCAAGAGATGTAGGGCTAAACCTGGGACAGAATTTGGAACAGAAAGCCCTTGCTCACATTGGGTTGAGAGACAGAACATCTGTCTTTTGTTTTCCATAACTTTTACAGCAGTCAACTGCTCTCAAGGCATTATTCATCACTTCGTGAAACATGCTCCGATGCACTAACAAGAAACCGTTTTTAAAAAGTGCTCGCATTTCACAAACAGCATATAGGAATTATAGCACTCCATGCACTACAATTATGTTTGTTACCTATTGCAGTTGTGGTGGTTGATTAGTATGATTACATAAAGTTATGAGTTCAACCATTACTGACTTCACAGAATTCCAGTTTTACTCATGGGAGGTTACTCTTATTCATACTAAATCACATACTTCCATTTTCCAGCTTCATGAGCCTGGCCTTTTCAACCAGTTCCTGAGAAAGCTGAAAGAAGAACTGAAAGAAATCTTCAAAACAGACTTTTGGAGCCAAATCATTTCAGGTACTGAATGTAACTTTGCATATGGACATTTTCCATTGCTGGTTGCCCCATGTTAGTGGCATCAAACTTTAGATCAGGTATTAGATTAGGTCAGGTGATAAAGTTTTAACCTTAATTTGGAATTACCCATCAGGGCACAAAGATGATGTATAATTTGCCCCATTGTGTGTTGTCTTTGTTCCCGTATATATTAAGCTTTTAGGTATGTACAGGATTGCTTCTCTTTCACTTCAGAATAGCTGACTCGCTGAGATGGGTGAAATATATTTCATGGGTGCAGATCAGAGAAAGGGGTTATGGTGATGCATTGCTGTAATTGGCAAATATGTGTGACTTGAAAAAATACCTTATTATTCATGTATTATACATGTGAGTGAAGTGCATGCTGACAATAAACACTGGGATCCATGTGAAGTGCATGCTGACAATAAACACTGGGATCTATGTTGAACGATTTATTGATTGTTCTATTTCTATTTTTTTTTAGAGAAAGTAACTTTAATAGATACGTCTGAAAGCAGCGAGAGTACTGTCTCCAAAGTGGAGGCCACAAAGGTGAGTGATAAGATGGAGGTATTCCTGACAAGTGTTGTGGATGGACAGTCCTTAACCTCGTTAATGCATTATTTGGGTTGATTTGGCGATCCTGACTGGGGACAGATGAATATTAACCCTGGTGCATTGTCAGAGGCTACTTGATATCATGCAGTTACTGACATAGCCATGTTCTCTTGGTTGCAGTTTCTTGAAGAAACCACAGAGGAGGAAGAAGTTGCCCCTGCCCAAGCTGATGAAGACGCTGAGGATCTGGTGAGTAGTTCAGCTTAAGAAGAGAGTAATTTGAAGTAAAAATGTATTCTGTTCACTCATCGACCTGTCCATTCTTTCCATTTTGAGGAACAGTCGGACAGCTATTTTAATTTGCACATTGAATTTGTGTGCGTACTTGTACTTGATAGGGCTCTGTGAAAAAAACACCATGTGCTATGCTGAAGAAGTTCATTTGGTTTGCACGCTGATTGACTGGTTTTTCACTTTAAATGAAAATTAAGAGCATCAAAAGTTCAGGAAAAATATTTGAACATCTGTCTGCTTTGCTCATTTCTCTGGGAATCTTCCTCATGCTTAAGATCTTTTCTGTATTAGCATCTTATGCAAGAGTCCTTGAATAGTTGGATCAAAGAAGTGAGCTCTTTTGTTTGAAAGTGCCGCTTGGAGAGTGGTGAAATCAAATTGGGTATCGTATCTCTTTTGACAGCTGGACATGATGTAGGAGCATGGTCAAGAAACGTTTCATCACAGGCCTAGATAAAGATGGGGCCGTAGAAGAGAGTTCATGCAGCAGTGAACGACGGGATATACTGACGACACGTTTTAGTTCTGTGATTCATACGTTGTACCTTAGAAGCTTCTGCATTTGTCATGATTGGATGCCATGGAAAGGGAAAAGATGGCTATCAAGATAACTAGGCAAACTGCTGTAATTTTTAGCTTTGATTTTCACGTTATTTCTACCACGTATTTTCATTTCACATAATTATGTCAAATAGTGATCAGCTGCTTTCTTATTTAGTCTCTTTCAAGGTTGCCATGGTGATTCAGAGAAGTGATAAGAATCAGTGAAGTTAGCAGAATCACTGATAGACCTTTTCTCAACAATTAGATGGCAAAATCACCAATGGAAGCCAAACAAGTTTTTTTTAGACCCTTGTTTTGCATATTGCTACCAGTTTGCTTGTGGCATGCTTATTCGTAGCTTTAAAAATAGTATTTCAGCTTTTGTTATACGTAATGATTGGTAATCCTCCCATTAACTGTTCCTTGAACACTAAAACAAAGGGATATATTCACTGCTTTCCAACAAGTTGTGTTAATTGTGTGTTATCTGTTAACAAACTGCTATGGTTTATATACGTTGTATACATGTAAAGAGTCAGTGAACCTGTGTGTTCCAATTCTAAAATTGAGAGAATATTACAGGTGAAAAAATTCTACATACTTTAAGACGTTGATGGTCCTGAGTGTTGGATGGATGGACCTCTTCCATCCTTAGCAGGTCCAGAAAAGGAAGATGATAATGATCAGTTGAGCTGTTTATGACAGAGAGTCACACTGTGTTTCTCATCATGTAGCAGCAAGTCGGTGGCATTAGAGAGAGACTTTAGAATTGCAGACCCACACTATAGGGTCATGCTGTACAATAGATACCACATCCAGAGAACACAGTGATGAAACTTACTTTGTCTTTTAACATCAGCTTCTGTGGCTGTGCTTTTTCCTTTCTCGTTGTTGGTGTGTCCTTAAAAGGTGAGCTGCATGGTCAAAACTTGAATTGTCCTCAATCAAGTCATCCCCGTCAACTCAGGCCCAGGAAATTATAAATGACATGCAAAATCATCCATACCTAAATGCTTGGAAACTGTTGGTCTATTCGTGTCAATCCTCACCTTTGCTTTGTGAAAGTATGTGTGTTTTTCTTTTGCCTTTGTTTTAGGCTACCTAAATGACTATGCAGAAAGTCACTATTATGAAAATCACTGAAATTGAGACTTTTTAACCATTTGGTTCTCCACCCTAGAGGTGACAGTTTGGCTTAGATCTACTCACAGCCAGAGGATTTGAGTTAGTGTAGTGGCTCTTTCCTCGTCTTCCACCTCTGCAGTCCGGGTTCGATTCCCGGCTCGGTCCACATGTGGATTGGGTTTTCAGTCCCTACTTGATTCTGTGGGTTTTACCCAGAATATTCTCTGGGTTTTCCTCCCACTACTAAAACTGTAACTCCTTCTCATTTCAATGTGCCTGAGTCTTCACATGTATGAAGTTGGTGCATCTCTTGGAAGAAGAAGGATGGGTGTGGAAAGTTCAGTAATGTTGGCTTGATATGTATCCATGGCAGAGTTTATTTCAAAGCTGGCAAGTTTGTCAGAACATCCATGGAGCACGGACATGTAAGTGAAGTTACAATCCATTCAGACAACTTATTTCCTTAATGTACCTACACAGTAAACTTTGATATTTCATGAAAAAGGTATTGTCCAAGTGTAATAAAATTGGTTTCAGGTTAACAGTACTATTTTGCCCATGGTGCATACTCTCACCTGAGTATATAATGACATATTTCAGTTGAATGCTTCTTGTATTATCATTCTGATAACAAATCAATCTTTGATGACCCAGGCTATTTGAACATACCAAGTGCCCAAATCCAGTGTTGCAATGGAGATTTAATTTTCCAGTTTCACAAATATTTTTCACTTGGTGTATGAAGAGTTAAGCTAGTTAAAACTTTAGAGAATGGAAAATTCTTTGTTTTTAGAGGCATGTTTTTACTTACCTGTATATGTGATTGGATGCATTGCTTTTGAGTTTTAAAAGGCCGGTTAAATTTATTCAAATTTCTTAAGATGTCAAAGCAAGTCCAATTTTTGTTTTCTTTTAGAAGTGATAGTTAATCTGCTTATGATTATGCCTTTAGGGGTGATCATGATAATGTTCTTTCGGTAAATTTTGCCAGTAGTCCTATTTTTTTTATATAAATTTTGATGCCTAATACTATTTGTGCCACATACTGTTATCGAAAAAAGCCAAAAAACATCAAAAAGAAGAACAAGAAATAATACATGTCCCTCCCCAAAAGAAGAAAGTGCGCATGATAACATAGTCTAGTTCTCTATGTTATGAAGTTCAACTCGTGTGTTTGAAAAACTTTATGATTAAAATATAGTAGGGCGCCACCTATTGTCTGTTACTAAGCTCGCGATCATATAGAGTGATGCACTTCCACCAGCTATTAACAATGCTTATGTGTGTCGTCAGGGTAGTATTCTTGGTGTACGACGCGATAACAACTGAATGCATTTTCTCCCGAAGTTGAAGTGATCAGACGAAAAAGACGCCCTTTTCCGTTATCTATCGAAGATCAGCAGACAAAAATGGGAGACAAGGTAACATTGATCTTACGACTGCCTAGCGCTAGCCTTGCTGCGCCCAACGGCAGTCACAAGCGGCGGACGTCAAACCGCACAGTTCTTGGTTCGGGGGGAAAAGAAGCCTAGATCCGTACCCTACTGCCTTTTGCAGTCCTGGCAATGTAGTTTTCTCCTTGGAAGGTTAGGGGAAGGATGGGTTAGGCCTACTTTATTATCGCGGTAGTTATCACATTTCCCGATAGAAATAAAGATTGCTCGCTCACCTTCCTGAATTATCCTATCCTTGCTGTTTTACTCTTTTCAACTTAATTCATAAATTTTTTTGTAGTTCAATTTGCTTTCCTCTACGATAGCTTAGAAAATCTGTGTGCACACCGTATGCAAGCGGAAGTGGAGTCTCTATTATCACGGTATCGAGAAATGGCTTCTACGATGGCCTTTAAGTTTAAAGCACTTTGTGAATAAATAAAGATAAAACGAATGATTTTGTTTTCATAGCAACTAAAATAGTCTCATTTTTGTGATAATGTTCCATTTTACCTGCAACTGACTCCATTTTTTCCAGTCTTCAGCATAAAGATGCCATACGCCGAGAGAACGAGACGGGAACAATGGCACTGTGTCACCTGACACTTATTAATCCGCCAAGGACTGATTTTCATTTTTTGTCGTTACTATTTAGGAGTGTTGTTGATATAAATTTCTTAAACAGTTAAAAAGGAGTTAGGGCCTAGAGACAATCCAACTACACATCTTTGATGACAATTCAAATTGATTTTTTGTGTGTCACCAGAATGATGAACCAGCAGAAAGTCGAGGTAAATTTCGATATCAGAATCGCAAGAAACTCACAGCAAAAGAGCTGAATCAGATGGATCCCACTTTACGAAGCAAATACCTTGCGGTGAGTATTGTAAAAGATTGTATTGTAATGTGCCAAGGTTTTTGGTTCTTTCTTAGAATTAACTGTGATGGCTAATGGTCTGGTCTATTACCATAAAAAATTCTACCATGTTTATCAATTGACAAATCTGACCCACCATTCTGACTCCAGGCTGATGACATCAGTATACATGTAAATTCCACAACTTTCACTGCCAAAGCGTTCTGTGGGCAAAACTTGCAATACAGATTACTTTGAAGTATGCAAATTATTTGTGGAGAAAAAGAATTACCAAACATCAATGTTAACTAAGGTTCAGCCTCCGGCAAGTTGGATCAGCAACAAATTGTTAAAATTATTGGTCGGTTTTGCCTGGTGCCCGGTAAAAAATACACCATGAATAGAATACCGGTTAAACTCGACCATTGGTTGTCATTTTGTAGCTGATCGAACTTGCACCTGGTTTAAATGTGGAACGGCTGTTGCAAATTATCCATCAAGTCACTCGGGACATCTTGCTTTTCAAACACCTCAAACTTCTGAATGGTCAACCCTTTCAGGGAAACTTATTCTACAGTTTCATTTGATGATGCAAAGGCAAATACATGTATACTCATTTACAGACCGAAACTTTGGGACTAAAACTTCACACATATGTTCTTAGTAAAGCTTGTGTGTCAAGTCCACTGCTATGAAACAATAAAGACATGTTTTGTTGGGGTTGATTTGTTTTTAACAATGTACATGTAGTATGAAGATCCTCCTAAGCAGTCATCTGAAGCAATGGAAATGTCCCATAAAAGAATACAAGAGCAGAAGAAAGTTGAGTCTATAAAGAGCAAGCAAGCTGCACATGTTGATCTGGAGAAGGAAAAACACAGCCAGCTGATTGGCCAGCTCAAGTAAGTCATCTCGATGATCTCGATGCAGTCTGAACAGTTTGGCGAATCAAATGTGCGGTGATAACCTGGAGAAGGTCCAAGGAAAGTGCAAGGTTCCAGTGCCTTGAAATGACCTCTCTCTCTCCGTAAATGGGAAATTCAGAACTTTTGTCCTGCAGAAGGAGCTCCATCTTTTTTCTACATTTAATGTAGTCCAGTGCAACATTGGTTTTTGACAACTTACCTGCAGCTTAAAACATCAGACTGGATGGATTTATGTTGCTTTACAAACACTGAGGATAGGTTACTTCAGTGGTTGTGTCCAGGTGACTTGTGTCTTCTGCTGTTACCAAACTCATTCTCAATCAGTCTCTGAAATTTCAAGAATCTAGTTGCCGTGTATAAAGTTGTATTCATCTCAGTCATAGCTTTATTGTTTAACAGTGGTTACACCCACACGTACATTCACGTTGTAGGCTCAGATAAAAGTAAAATATAGATGTTGTAAGTTTGTCAGAACAGATTGGCCTTGAAAAATTTGAGAAATTCTGTGCTGATTGTAAATTTGGTACATTCCAACAGCAGCTGTATAGAGCAAAGTGTAGCGCACCTTTCAGTACCAAAGTTGAGTTGACTCGACCGGGAAATGATTAACACTCAAGAGTTTATTTATTGGACTGATGCATAAGGTTAGACCTGCCAAGTTATGAACTGGAGTGGAAAATGGACCATTTTGAGGGCCACAGATGATGGTATTTTGCTCAAAGATGGCCGCATATGTTTCCAGAGATCACATTGTGCGTAGAGCCTGACTGGCAAATTGTCCTGTGAACTGAAGTTCACAGTTGATTCGGCTGAGTACAGGAAGTTTCAATCACGTATTCTTTCATTCTTTGTTGGTTTATGTCAACCTTGCAGGGCAGCAGAAGCCAGAAACAGATTACGAGTGATGAGACTCAGATACCAGAGTAACAGAGTGAGTATGAGACATGCTTGACATTCCATGCCTTACATTTCATACAGATGATGTAGGTTTATGCTTGAAACTGTTATCATATGGCCTTTGTCTACATGTACATGTAAACAAATGGTGAGGTGCATTTCACACGGTAGAGATTGTACGGTGGACCTCAGGTCAGGTAAATCCTCCAACCCTGCTTGTATGTTTGGCCCAGTAACATACTTTATGTTGGAGTTGTGTGCCACACTGTCAGGCCATGTTAGCCTTAATACCCACAGCAATTGTGAAACCAAATTTGAAACCAAATTCTTACCAAATCTGATCAGAACTTACAGATCAAACTGCAGTTTAAGATGTACCCACTACTTGTATATAGTTGCGATTAGCCTCAGTGTTAAGCCATCTTTTCCAGTCCCGGTAGTGCTTATATTTTGCTGATCACACTACGGATTGACTGAACCTATGCAATGCAAGCACTAAACATGTACGTGTAGAACTGATAACAGACGCCAAATGCAAGCCAAATTGAATTAGTATCAATTACACAAGTTGGGCTTGGGCCATTCTCAGTATCGGGCTCCGATCTGTCAGAGGCAGACATTCATATGACCTTACCTGTGAGAACATTTCTCAGCTCAGACGGTTTCTGTGTGCATGTAGGCTCAAGAGGTAAAGCATCTGATCTCCTGCCAGCCCACTGCAATCAAGGCAGTCAGGCTTCAAGCGATGGTACCCCCAGTTCCAGACAGGAACAGCCCTGGTGACGCACTGGACAAGCTACAGGTAGCTGGCTTCAGACTGTACAGAGTGCTGTATCCGGGCCTTGGGCCTGCAAGGAGAAAGGAACAAACTGAACATTTTTCCTGACTATCCAATAGTTTTCATCCATGAAAGAATCTTCATTAGCTCCATTCCACCCTCCAAAGATAGGCAGTAGTAAAGTTTCTAAAATGCTGGCATTTTTGAAATCCTTCACATCAAGAAAAAAAACTTATGATCTCTATCCTTCCTCCTCTGGTTACGCCAACGCACACATTTCATCTGCCCACTATGCCATAGACACATAAAACAAATAATTATGGTTATGAGTGCAGTAGTAAGAATGTAACATGAGGAATCAGGATACTTTAACCAGTTAGCATAAGTTTGTCCAACAAAATTGCATAATAGAATGTAAATTGCATAATTTTTAGGCAGTGGTGTAAATACATTCCACTAGTCACAGGAGGAATATTGTCATGGCTACGTTAGCAATTGAGGGTGCCCTTTGGCATACAGTGGCCGTGACCTCAGATTGGTATTGTGCTCTGTAGTGGATCTATTCAACTGAAAAATGTGTGACAAAATATGGAGGGCCTGAAGTTTCAATCCAAGCAAAAACTTTCTCAAAGGCTTCTTTGCCTTTGCCTTTGAAAAAGATTCTGCTAGGATCGAAATGTCAGGCCTTCCATATTCTGTGATTGGTGTTTTAGGTCACTGTTGTCAGCAAGCAGTTCGCAGCAGTTTTGTATTACATATCAACTGAAAACTACCCACTCGAGTGAGATCTGTGTCCTCACATCAGCAAATCAGCTCTGATTGACAGGCTACAAGTCACTTGTACCTGGCAGAATGTTTGTGATTGACTGCTGGTGAGAGACTAGTGAGAGACTGTGTGCCTGACTCTGTCATCTGAGCTGAATGAGAAACTTTCTGCACTTCTAAAAAACTTCTCGATGATGCATTGCTATAAAAAAATCTGCTAGCCTTTTAAGCCATTAAATTTCAGATATCTGACCAGTATATCAGTCCAGTGGTTGGGTCTGAAAAAAGGTGGAAAAGGAGATAAAACTATATTTTAAATTTGTACCCCCAGATCGTGCTTGATATCTTGTGCAGACCAAGAGTGGTTGCATACACCTCATGGTGCATTGTGCTTCATGTCATTAGTTGTACATGTATTTGTCTCAATCTTCCCTCAGAGATCGCGCGTGGAGACAGTCTTGGAGGATGAGAGAGGACTGACCATCAACAGAGATTTATCATGACTTCTTGCTACGCACAGCATATTATCACGTAGTAAAATGGAAAACACTGTTTCTCATGTGCAATGTCACAACGGTTGAGTGACGTGTAGCATGCTGACAGATTTACATCACAACACCTCACCCGTAGATTCTGTATCATTTAATGGGACGAGAGTGGACCTATAGGTGTTTGGTACTAAACTGATTGCAGCCAGCTTTGTGAAGTTGGCCACGCCCAACTAAAAGTGCTACATGTATGGACTGTACATAGCAAACAAAGCATTTTGCAAATAACAACTGGAGGGCTGTATGTATGCACATGGATGTGCCTTGACTCAGACAGGTGTTTTCTCTATGGAGTAAGGGATGCCATACCCTGTGCAGAATCTGTGGGAGAGTTGTTTTATTTAACAGATATTGCCTGCTTCCGTCAGCACCTCACCCAATTAAGTAACTTTTTTTAAATTGATCCTAGCATTCAATTTTTACCGGTATCTTGGGTTTGCCTAAGGGAAAACAGAAGATTCCTAGTACTGATTTCCTCATTTAGTTCTACCATATCATTGGGAAGGGCCAATTAATGACATCTCATCTCACTTACTTTGTCCCTGACCAAGTGCGTTACAAAGTATTTGCAATTTGCTCTGTTTACTTCCAAACACAATAGAAGTCAGTGGGGAAAGTAATACAAGTGTTGTGTATGAAGGACATTGATTATTAACCATGCACGCAGTCACTGCGTTGTGAGTGATTTTCAGGGGGGAAAAAAAGGTGATGCACAGCATAGGTCATTAGTACATTTTGTCCAGGAAAGTCTGCAGAGGTGCCAATTGAATGCTCGGTTCATTTCAGGTCATTTCAACGTTCATGTTGAATGGGCACAATAAGCCATTTGCAAGTTAACTTTGAATAAAATCAGGTACACTGAGAATTTTCCGTACTAAAGCCACTGTTGCTATACCTCGTGATTCGGGGCAAGCTTTTCCTTAGTTACATAAGCGATGCCTTGCAACAATACACTGCTCTCAATGGAAAAGAAGGGCACAAAGGAATCAGTCCATTCTAGAGCCGGTGGTCACTAAGCAAAAGCTTGCCCCGAATTGCGAGGTATAGCAATAGTGTCTTTAATCTGGGGAATTCAAAATGTCATGTTTATGCACAATCAGATAACTCGGTGTACCACATTTTATTCAAATTGAACTCACAAATGGCTCAATAGAGTGAACCACATTCTCATATTTGCTGATGTCTACCACCTTTTCGCCAGTAGCCCGTTGGAACTGGTTTGCAAATGCTAACCATATCAGCATTTCTTACATTAAAGAAATCCATCCAAGTAACCGTTAGCTTATATACAAGTCTACACGTGAAGCATTGTAGAACAAATATAACACATGTACATGTTGGTATGTTGAAGTGGTGTCCTCCGATGAGAGAGCATCATTGTACCCAGGGAAAAACATACAGTGCACCTATGAAGCATCACCGTATGATCATTTTTAATACTGTTCTACTCAAAGCAGTCTGTATTTGTAACTGATGACGTCATCGGCGTACTCACTACGAACATTTAACAAAAGAAACACGGTACACTAACAGTGAGCATCCATTGTAACTGCACCGTACTTCTTTTGTTAGATGTTCGTAGTGACTGTGTGCTACATGATGAGCATTTATGGTTAACTATAACCAAGATACCTGTATGCTAAATACCAACAGACTTACATGTGCACAAGGGGGCACTAAATCATCAAGCAAGCACGGTCAGTATATTTCTGTCTTAACCCTCCTATGCGGAAATCACTCTTTGGGTCATTTGGTAAACACCTCAAAGAAGCACAGCTGTGTTGTGCTGTGCACTGCACCAACT